GTCTGCAGCCTCTGCGCAGTGCCGGGCGCGCCCTGGCGCTCCGTGAGGTGGCTGCTGCTCTTAGTTTTCTCCTCTTGACGCAGAAGGTTCTGGAAGCAGGTTTGTAATGTCAGCGCTGAGAAGCCTGCAGACAAACGTGGTGGACGCCAAGCAGCCCTGCACATCTTCAGTGTGCCCGGCGTGTAGACCCCTCCCAGGGGAGAGGAAGCCCTGCTGGTCGCTCCTGTTCCACACGCCTTCTTGCCCTGGACTGGGATTTTGAATCACACTAGGAGGACCACCTGCCAGAAGCTCGCTACTGGCAACTATTCTTGAGTCCAGTTGCCATTTCTGAGTCTCACTGTCCATATTCCAGGCTTCTCCTGAAAGTGTGGAAGCTTCAGTCTGCGCGACTCTCTGTTGGTGCCCAGCGGTTCTGTGGGGATGCTGGTGAGCAGACTTCTGGCCTTCAGGCTTCAGACCCGGAGCCCAAGGGGATGTTCTGAATGTCGCGGTCGCTAGAAGCAGTGCAGTGATGTAGGGAGGAAGAGCGTGGACACCGGCCAGGCGGAGGAGGGCCTGCCGGCGGCCCTGTCTGCCAGCTGTGATCAGTGGTGGCTTCATTCTCCTCGGGTCCTGCCTGCCTTTCTCAGCCTGCGGGATGCAGATGCGCCCTCCTTCGCAGGACTGGCCTAAGTAGCACGTGGATTAACTCGAGGTGATGCCCCATCGCGGGACCCACCACGCAGTGGGGTGGAGTTTCGGCTTCGGGGCGAGTTTTGTACCCTAGCCGCAGAGAACCGAACCGTTCGAGGGTGAGTGAATGGAGCTCTGCTGCTGGAGCCCTTCCCTTGGGGAAGGTGGGCTACTGCTGAGCACTTCTCTTCACCCCAGACCCTTAACGCCTTTTAGAGATGAACGTCTTTTTACACATCTCAGTTTCATCTTCCTTTTAGTTTTTTAGACATAAATGTCCAGAAAATAGTATCATTATTAAGATGGACTCTAAAGAGTAAACTCTCATTCTTTTTTCCTTTTTAAAGATTTTTCAGAAATATGTGCCTAAGAAAAAAAGTTCAGACAGACGCATGGCCTGCCTCCCTCCCCAACACCGTGCAGTCCCCTCCTGGGAGGCAGCTGCCCTCGCCATGAGCCACCTTCTCACCTGACTGGCCTGGCTGGGTCTGTTCCTCCCGTCAGTAATGCTCAAACCAGCGGCTGCTCTTCCTCCAGCCCCCGTGCCGCAGCCAGCTGGTCTGGGGGCTGGTC